TTTTCCCCCCCCCCCCCCCCAATTTGTTACTTGGCCAGATATCCTTTTTCCTTGTTTCGTTCCTAATCAACAATTAATTACCTCATAAAATTTTATTTTTCAACCGGGTATTATGCAACGTGTATTATCCACTACTTTATGACTTATGCGTACATAAAACCACACATGATAGTCAATCAAAATATCAATATTCGTCACTACATGTTCACATATTATGCAACATACATTATCTGCTACTTTTGACTTACAAGCGTGCATAAAATCACCCATGATAGCCAATCAAAATATCCAGCAATACATATTCCTCCATTTTATGGCCAAGCGTACCTGGAAGTGACGAGAGTTTGCAGTTCAGTCATGGGAGACTCTTTAGCTTACGACGTAAGCAGTCTACAGAATCCCATAACTGGGCTCTGATACCATTTGTAACGGCCCAGATCCACCGCTAGCAGATATTGTCCTCTTTGGGCTTCCCCTCAAGGCTTTAAAACACGTATGCTAGGAGAAGGTTTCTACACCCTTATAAATGGTGTTTTGTTCCTCCCAACCAATGTCTACACCCTTATAAATGGTGTTTTGTTCCTCCCAACCAATGTGGGACATCACATCCTAACTGTGTCTTGTGCAAATAGAGAATCAAAGCAGGCAAAGCAATGTTTGCCTTGAAAACCACAATCGAAAAAGTGATGTTAGAGCACATTTGGGATGATAAGACACCGAAAGAAGCATGAGACACGTTCGTGATATTATTCTCAAAGAAGAACGATACGAGGGTACAACTTATAGAGAACAAGTTGTTATCAATTTTCACAGCGTGACATGACAGTTGCTTAGTACTTCCACAAAGTCAAGCCGATTTACCGAGAGATTACTAAATTAGACCCGAGGTTCGCTATTGGAGAAGCTCGAATGAAGAGGATCATCATCCACATATTGTGACCAGAATATAGAAGTTTTGTTATTGCTGTACAAGGATGACTCGCTCAACCATCACTGGTAAAGTTTGAAAATTTGTTAGCCGGCCAAGAAGCCATGACTAAACAAATTGGGAGTCTTGTAATCTCTTTTCGATTGTTCTTAATAACGAGTACGAGTGTTTTCCACATAGAGTTATGTTCAATACTATAGTGAGAATAGATCTTAGCCATGACGAACCTACGCTTGCTGTCGTTATTGTAGTTGAAGAGGGGAACTCAAGTGAGCTAACTCCAATAGAAACCTCGCGGTCAATATAGAAAAACCATGGTGCAAGACCAGAAAGTCAATCTTAGTTTAATTTCTGGAAAAACCTCGCAGTTAAAGATCTTTCTGGAAAGTAAAACTTGAGTAACCAAAGTAAAATAATCGGGGAAGGTGACTTTTTTATTTTTTTATTTTTAGTTTAGAAAATAACTATACAATAAAGTTATCGAAAAAGGTACAAAATTTTCTTAATAAAAAAAACTAGGGTTAGATAGTTACGAATCAAGGATCTCCATAATGGTATGGTATGATATTGTCCACTTTTAGTATAAGCTCTCATGATTTTGCTTTGGGCTTCACAAAAAACTTCATAGCAATGGAGACGAGTATTCCTCACTTATAAACCCATGATCTTCCACTAAACTAACTAATGTGGGACTCACTCACAATAATTCTCGACAGAGATGTTATTCCACAAGAAATCGTTACATTCTTTTAGTATTAACCGTCTTTTTAAATAGCTAAAATTTTTTTGGAACTTGGTGGGCGAGAATATCACCATCTTTAATGTCTAGAATAAAAGAGAGAAATTTTCAAATAAAGTAGACCTATAATTTTCTCGAATTTATCTCAATGTCGAGAATGGTAGTTTCAATCTTCTTTTCATAATCGCAATACATTAATGCTCCCTACACTTGATAAGTTCAAATCAAATGCATGCTTATTTTGTTCCTACATAACTTTGTTCTTTTTCACCTAATTTACAACAATAAACGAATAATTTTAAACAATAAACTAAATTTTAGAGCTGAATTACCCTCACAAATGAGCGTTATCAACATATAGTGCTTTAAGTTACTTTTTCTATTTATGCAAGAACTAAAGAACTCTAGAAAATAGAAAGATGAAATGAGGCAAGTTTGAGAGGTATCACTAAGACAATGCATATGTAAAAAAAATTACGTTCATATCTTCCAATAAAAAAGACATTTTTAAATTACTTTTAGAAAGTTTAAGGTATTAAGAAATTTTTTAAAAGTTCAAACGTAATTTTGAGATGAGATATGGACCATTTTCGATATTATTCTAATTATTAAGAGGTGGAATATATATATATATATATATATATATATATTTTTTTTTTTTTGTAGAGAAATATTTATGAAACTTTAAAGGTTGAATAATTTTAAAACCATCTAAGGATAATATTCTATAATTTAGCTCTGTTTTGATATAGAAAAGGAGAAAAGAAAAGAAAAAATAAATAAATAAATAAAAGAGAAAAAAAGCGAAAGAAAAAAGGAAAAGCTAAACCCTAATCAGTGTCGTTCGACAGTGACCAGGCGCACGTTTCACAGACGACGACTCATTGTTCAAACGGCGGCAGCGCGGTGTTACCCACGAACAGCAGCGGGCGCGCTTGTCCTCTTCTTTTCCGGCGACTGCTCCAGCTCTCCAGCGAACGGCGACACCAGTGACGCTTACCCCTCTGCGCAATCGGACCACACCCGAATAACCGGATTTGGATTACCCATAGCCTCAATTTGCAAGTTCAAACCCATTCGAACACCTTCCAGCAACAATCCAGGTCTTTTTTTTTTTGTTAGATTTGGATAGCACGGTTTTGTTGAAGCCCTTTCCATCTCTGGTAGAGTATGTTTAGATTGTTCTCTAACCTTTAGGAAGTATCTGTTTGCAGTTTTGGAGTCTTTCAAACACTTTTCAGCCAGGCTCTAAGTCCATTTTGGTGAGTTTCAGGTTGTAAAGCTCTATTTAATCTTCACTGGATCAAACCATTCTCTCTAAGCTAAATGCTTGTTTTTTTTTAAAAAAAAAATTCCTAATTTGGACTTCTTGATTTTAGAAATTTGAGATATTACCCATAATTTTGTAGTTCTCAATTCGTGAAGTGGTTTTCTTGTTCGCTGCTTTTTTTTTTTTCGTACTTCTTTGGATATTGATATTTGTGATCTGTTTGTTTACATTTTTTTGTTCGGTTAGTTGAAAGTTAGAATTGTGCTACCATCTCTGCCCTAATACTTTATTTATTTACTTTCCTTTTCCACGTTTAGGTTGTCTATGGCCTTGCATATGTTGGTATACCGTTTGATCAACCTATATTCTCTTTTTGGATTTTCTCCACAGTTTCTCTTATGTTATCCTTTGTTCTCTTTAACAGTTGAACCATTAATGTGTAAGAAGAGAGCTGCAATTCTTGCTAGACGCTCCTTAATAGCATTATGCAACATACGATCTTCATGTAGCTCCTCAGTATCAAACAAAGTCCTAAATCAAGTTAGAAATTTAAGCATTGCTTCTGAAAGAGAGGAATATCAGAACGATAATGGATATCATGCAGATAACTCTTTGCAGAGTTACCAAAGCCATGGTGGATTTAGCAGTGACAGCCAAAGCCCTGGGTACTATCAGCATCATGCCCAAAGTGCTAGTTTCCAAAGCTCTTCTTGGCCTAATCAGAATATTCTACTTGAGCGTAGAGAAAATTTAACTGCTTACAATGGGTTTAACAATGGAGAACTGCAGCAGAACAATTATGAGGTTTCTGGACAGAATTCATGGGGCACACAGATTGAGTCCAGACAATTTGTACATGGCAACAGCCTAAATTACCGCAATTCTATGCCAGGACTAAACAATCATATTCCCATCTCAAGACAATATGAGCAAAACTCTATGTCTCAGCCACATCCACAGGGGCAATATCAACAAGGTGGCAGTGTTGAACTATATCAGCCAAACCCAGATACTATTCAGAGTCGCACGATTGGTACTCAAGTATTAAACAACACCAATGCTGATGAGGAAATTGGCGTGACTAAGGATAACCCATATGGTGGTACCCTTGAGGAGCTTGATGAATTCTGCAGGGAAGGAAAATTGAAGGAGGCTGTGCAAATTCTGGAAATGTTAGAGAAACAAAACATTCCTGTTGATTTATCCCGGTATTTAAATTTGATGAATGCATGTGGGGAAGCAAGGTCCCTAGAAGAAGCCAAGGTGGTTTGTAATTACGTAATAAAATCTCAAACCCCTCTCAAAGTTAGCACCTATAACAAAATTCTGGAGATGTACTCTAAATGTGGTTCCATGGATGATGCCTATATGATATTCAATAAAATGCCCAGCCGCAACCTAACATCTTGGGATACTATGATTACGTGGCTTGCTAAGAATGGCCTAGGGGAAGATGCTATTGACCTTTTCTACGAGTTCAAAAAAACTGGGTTGAGAATTGATGGAAAAATGTTCATTGGAGTTTTCTCGGCATGTAGTGTCTTGGGAGATGTTGATGAGGGGATGTTACACTTTGAATCAATGACAAAGAATTATGGCATCATTCCTTCTATGCAACATTATGTTAGTATAATAGACATGCTTGGTAGTGTAGGTTATGTAGATGAAGCATTGGAGTTCATTGAAAAGATGCCATTTGAGCCAGGGGTAGATATTTGGGAAGCAATGATGAATATCTCTAGAGCTCATGGGTTGATGGAGCTTGGTGATCGTTGTTTTGAGCTTGTCGAGCAGCTTGATCCCTCTCGCTTAAATGAGCAATCAAAAGCTGGCCATTTGCCTATAAAAGCTTTAGACCTTGCAAAAGAGAGAGAGAAGAAAAAATTAGCCAACCGGAATCTTTTAGAAGTCAGGAGCCGAGTACATGAATATCGAGCTGGAGATACTTCTCACCCTGAGAATGACAGGATCTATACCTTGCTTAGGGGTCTGAGGGAACAAATGAAGGAGGCTGGTTATATTCCAGAGACTCGATTTGTACTCCATGATATAGATCAGGAAGGCAAAAATGATGCTCTACTTGGTCATAGTGAGAGACTTGCTGTTGCATATGGTCTAATCAGCAGCTCAGCCCGCTCACCCATTAGAGTAATTAAGAACCTTCGAGTTTGTGGTGATTGCCATAGTGCACTAAAGATAATTTCAAAAATTGTGGGTCGAGAACTCATCATCCGTGATGCTAAGAGATTTCACCATTTTAAAGATGGATTATGCTCTTGCCGTGATTACTGGTGAAGAAAACGAAACTTGAGGTATGTCTTGTCTCCACTTGTTTTCCTTTAATGTCTAAGCTTTTTCAGGTTTGGACATATTGATAAATTGCTTTAATTTATATTCCTCATTCCCGTTAAAAATTGAATTGCAAAATTAGGTTGGCGCTGAATTATATGTTGTATTTTGTGATGTTATGAAAGTTTATCTTTATATTCCTGGTCTTTGTTTTTGTTGTTTTATTTTAATTCGTGGTCTTCTCATTTCATTGTTGCATTTGCATCTTGTTCAAAGTTTGGTTGGACATTGAAATCTAATTTTTTTTTTTTTTTTTATTAGAAGTTAGAAAATGCATGTTTAGAGTTTGGCTAGAGATTGAATTACCTCTTGCTCGATAGACTCTAGTAGCACGGTCAGTTATCTGTCATTACCTAAAAGGGGAAAAATTTTGTGATCACCTCCTAGTTGAAACCGTACGTGTACTTGATTGTAGTATCAAGTAATAAGTGACGTTCTCAGTGCAATATTCTTAATGATAGTGTGTTGTCATCCACTCATTTACAAATTATTGAGACTGATAATGCCTTCCCCCCCACCCCCTTCCTGCCTCCTCGAGGTGTATTGATTGGCAATGATGTGTTGTCCAAAGTGACATACCCACAAAAAAAAAAAAAAAAAAAAAAAAAAAAAAAAAAAGAAAAAAGAANTCAAGTTAAGTAATATATGATTTTGGTACTTTGTATAGGATCCTGGATTTTGTAAAAGTAAGAACTTTGTATTGTAAGGTAATAAATGGTCCATATTCCTTAATGGTGGATTTATGCTTCTAAAAGGCTTCATCAAGGTGAACCATGAGCTCCATTTCTATTTTTGCTAGTTGGAGAAGTTCTAAGCGGACACATGGACAAAGGTATGTCTATGAAGGTTTTAAAGGCTTTTTTGTTGGCAAAGATGGGATTCTTACAAGAAATAATTTTTCATCGATGAAATGAAAAATCACAGAGAAATATGGAAAATTTTTCACAGAAGAAATGACAACTAAGGCTATCGGATCATCTTACAACACTGACCAAAACAAACTATACTAACTCTTGATCAAATAGAAAAACTAAACAAGAAACAAAAACTAGGAAAGCACACTATGATGTCAACAACTGTAAGTTTCAAACTCTCAAACCACCAGCAGCAGCTTTCTTTCGAGCTCCCTCATTAGTCAAAACAAACTGCCGACAGCAAAAACTCTTCCTCCCAAAACAATGGATCAGAAATTGCAACTTGAGCACCATCTACCTTTGGAACCAACAACAAATAGAGAAAACCGTACTTGAAGAACTCTCAAGAATTTGTAAAACTCAAATGAAAGACAATAACTTAAATAATCTTTTGCCTCGTAAACTTTGAAACAATTTTGAGACGTTTTCAGGCTTCAAAGTAAATCAAACAAATTCATGGTGAGCAATATCAACCTAAGCAACATAAGATAAGATGGCTCATAAAGTGCGTGAATTTTGAACCTCTACCATCGGGGGGGGGGGGGGGAANGTGTTGATAGATGAAGGATTTTGGTTTGTCTAGGTGAGGGATGATGCTTTGTAATGTCATTCTTACAAATTTCATAATGTTCTGGCTTTGGCTTAATGAATCCTTACTCTTCTAATATTCTGTCATTTGCAAACAATACCAATAGAGAGTTCTCTTCATTAGGGAATGTCATGGATTATCTCTTCTTTGTTGCCTAGCTAAGGATAAAATGTGTGTGAGAGAGAGGGGAGAGTAGGAGGTGGGGATGGAAATGGATGGCATTCCTAGTCGGGGAAGATAAAAGTGGAATCTAAGGATTCGAACTCCTTGATGTAAGATTTAAGGGGAAGTAGATTAAATCTTAAGGAAAGAAGCAGAGTTGTGACTTCAATTTTTATCCAATTGGTCTCAGCTATTGGAGCTATCGTTTAATAATAAAGCTGTTGTGGTTGAATTTTTCCTGATCGGTTCACATGGAGTAAACTCGAGTAACTTTATACTTGAGCTGAGGTGTAACATAGGCAAAAAGAATGAATGCTCGAGTGGTTGAAAAGAGAACTTTGGGTTTTGTAGGAGACATAGCGTTAATATGCTTTCTAATCATCAAAATTGTTCATACTGTTCATGCTTTTATAAAGTGGCCTCTAAGTTTCCTAATCATCTCATTGATCCTTGTTTAGATTACATGCTTCCTTGTTCACGAGCTGTTTCAGAAGGTTAGCTTTTTTAGTAGTTATTTCTCATCTTCCCCTCTGGCTATTGTAGAAGCACAATGACAGATAAATGCACAACTCTCATTGCATATGCATCTTCTGCAGCTCCATTACCATGTTCAAAAGGGTGTCGAGGTTCAAAATTAACAGAAAGTTCAAAATTACTATTCCCAGGCAAAGTCACCGAACTCTCACACTTGGTGGAGGCTTAGGCTTGAGAATGTATGGAACAAACCGTTGATGGCTTGTGCCTGGGCTTGGATCAAGCCTAAACTATTCCTCCTAAAGTGAAGCTATTATTTCTCGATATCTCTTATTTACTTAGTAATGTCATCACCATTATCAATAACCCCAATTTTGATGTAGAAGGTTAGCAAGAGAACTAGTGATAGACAAATTTGAGCCAGGCAGTCGGTCAAACTAAACAAAAGTCGAATTGAACAAATTCTATTTTGTTTTCCCAATGATTTATTGGTTCAATTCTATGTGCTATTTTATATTTGGATTGGTTTTATCAAAGTTCTATAGAGACAAACCAATGTGTCTGTACATATGTTAGTGAACAAAGTATCATGTAGCGTGTAATCTTTCTGAGCAGTTCGATATAGGTAAATGTTTTGGTGGGAAAATTTGTGCATTTTTAGATGGTTTATCAATGAGGAAACTACTTAAACCAAGAGTAGTGAACATGATTGCATTGGTTCGTGTTTGTATGGTACGATTCTAAGTGCTGTATTTGTTATTATTTATAATAAGTTAAAATATCATTTTGGTTTAAATATTTTGATGTTGGTTCAATTTACTCCATTATAAGTCTAATTTTGATCATTGTACTAAAAATACAAATTTACTTCGGATGTTTTTTTTTTTTTTTTTTAAAATTTTAAATAAATGGATTGTATTATATTATTAAGGTACAAAGGGGCGAAATGACTTGCTTGTACCTTACAGATCGGTACAGTGGAATGTGCAGCTTTATTGAGTTTTTATTTTCTATTTTTTAAAATGATTTTATTCTTTCTTTTCCTTTTGGGATGAAATTTAGAGATTTAAAGTTAATAATACTTGAAAAAAGAACTATGTTCACCCTAGTTGTCAAATATCATTCTTGTTTTTACCTTTAACAATAATCCTCCTACTTGAACTTTAAGTTTTTGTTGATTCCTTGATTCCTCATGTAAATCAAAGCAAAAAAAAAAAAAAAAAAAAAAAAAAAAAAAAAAAAAAAAAAAAAAAAAAAA